TTGACCTTACAGTGGCTGAACTGTCTGCAGGTGTTGGGCAATGAGGCTGGAGCTGTTGGTAATTGTTGAGAGCTGTTGCTTCACTCAGAATGAGCTGCTGAAGTGGGAGCTTGAGCTCTGGCTCTGTGCAGAGGGCCAGGCGTGGCTCTGATGCTGCAGGGTGTCAAAGTGCACTGAACCTGAGGATTTTCACTGGAATCCCTGGTCAGTGCCTCTGCTGGAAGTGGGTCTGAGTGCAGACCAGGCTCAGCAGCTCTCGTTCTGGCTGTTGTGATGTGCCATGTCAGCTGGGTCATGTGTCCCACACAGTTCTATGTGTCTTGCCTTTATGGTGGTCCCTGCTTTTCCCTGCCCATTCTGGCATCTTGTACTTGAGCTCATGACCCTTTGACTTTGAGGAAAATCTACCCACTTTTCTTACAACAAATTAAAATCTGGCCCAAGAAGTTGAGTGCAGGAGCAGAAGTTCATGGTTTGGCTTGCTCTGCAGCCACTCCAGCAGTGGAGTCTGACCAGCTGTTCTCCTTGGGCTTTCTCAAAACCTGCCAGCATGGGCTGAGAGTCCCTTGCCCCAGCAATACACTGCTTTAATCTCCTCCAGCCTTGCCTCAGCCATTTATTTCTTTATAAAAGCTGTTGTATTACTGGTGGTTGGGGTGCATAACAAGCAGGGTCCCTGCTCTGTTGGGAGTCCCACCATGCCAAACCCTGCCTGCTGGCAGAGGGGCTGCAGCAGTGCCTTCCTCACACTTCAGAAAAACATAAGCAGCTTCCTAACCCAGAGGCCTTGCCCAAAGGCTCTGGGTTGTTTGTGTTCCCTCTGTAAGCAGGAAATACCAATGAAGGTTGCAGGAATCCAGTGGTTGTGTGGATGTGTGCCTGACCTGCTGTGGTGGCCTCTGGGCAATGGACTCCAGGGAATCCTCCTCCAGCCCTCACTGCCCTCCTGACTCTGACTCCAAGGCTTTGAGTGAAGAACACAAACATCTGGGGCCAGTGCTTTAAACTTCCGGTGCCTTTGGGCCAAGCCACTCGTGTTTCATCTTGCTTTTTGTTTTTGGGTGTGTAAATACAGGGGGTCCAGCACCCTCTGCTCTGCACAAGCACCCTGAGCTCTCCTGGTGCTTCCTTGACCCATGTTAGTGAGACCAGAAACCAGCCCCAAAGGTTCATCATTTGAGCTGAAAGCATCACGTTGTTCTCCAGGCTTGGCCCTGCTTTATCCCCTTGCCTGGGGTGGTTTGAGGAGAAAAGTCACTACTGCAGCTGGGAAGAAAGAAATGGAAAAGCAGGAGGACAAATGTGGTCCTGTTTAAAGGTACTTTGGGGTTTTACTGCGACCTAAAGCATGTGCTTTATTCAGCAGTTTTCACAAGCAGGAAGTTTTATTTAAGGCCTTGCTGAATCATAGAGCAAGAGAAAACTGAGCACAAGAAATAGTTTAAATGGAGCAGATTTTGCTGTTTTCAGAGATTTCCTGATGTCCTCAATGTTCAGTCTTAGTTGTGTTAAGCAGATGTCATCAGGAGCATCTTCAGGTGCTACGTGGGTGATAGCCAGAGACCACAGGGTAAAAGTAACCTCCCTCTTTGATGTGAAGGGATTTTGGGGGAATTGAGGGAGAAAAGCAATCAAAAAGCAGCAGTGGTCAAACTGGCTCCAGACCTTTACTGGAGACCTGTATTTACAGCATTCTCCTGCCTGTGCTGCAATTGGGGTTTCTGTTTAGAAATCAGAAACAGCCCAAAGGCACAGAGAGTTCTGGGCTTTGTGTTCTGCTTTTCTCAGCACCCTCTTTCCATACCTCAGGAGAATTGTGTGGCCTTTCGGACTGAGCTGAAGAGGAAGAGGAGGGAAGGGAGTGATGTCCTTTGCTGCAGTCCCCACATTTAAATATAAATAGTTCTCCTCTTGGATCCTTCCAGTCTGATCTTATGGGTGATTTGACCTTTCTTTGATAAAAGCTTTCTTTATTTGCAGGAATAAAAAGGCAAAGGGGAGGAGAGGACACAGCAGATGTTTTTTTAAAAAATATCTTTAGATCCTGGCAGTTGGTTTCTGCAGCACCCAGTGCTCCCTCCTGGGCTCCAGCTTTGCTCCCCCTCTGAGCTCCTTGAACAAACTTTGCATTTTGCTGTGAAGCATTGACCTGGAGATTTCTAAGGAAATGTTTTATCATGGGGACACCACGCTCCAGTGGGGACAGATGCCCCAGGCTCTGGTCCCCAGCCCTGCCCACTGCACCACTGACCCTGCTTTTCCTCATTTCATAACTTCAGCTGAAAGAAACATTTGTGTTAATTGCTGCTGGTTTTTCATGTGCTCACCCTCGAGCAGTTTGGGCTCAGTTTAATGTGTAAAACCACGGGACGCTGGCACTGCCCAGGTTCCAGCCCAAGCAAAGGCAGCACAGGTGCACACAGTTAGAACTGCTCTAGACTGCACACAAGGCTTTCTGGCACTAGTTCTAACCATTAATTGCCATGTTAAATCCAGCAATAAATTATTTGGGCAACCACACTGCAGGAGCCCACTGCCAGGAACAAACCAGAGCTGAGTGCTGCTCAGTCCCTTCATGCTCCAGGGCTGCAGGCTGGATCAGGCAGGGCACTCCCACACTCCCTGAGTGGGGGTTTTGGTGTCTCACTGACCTTCTGCGTGTGGTTTAAGCCACTGTTCCTGTGAACAAGATTGTCAGTGCTGGAGGTGTGTATAGATCTGCATGTGTGTGTCCTCCTGGAGCACAGGATGGTGTGTGGTGTGCAGGATGCCTCAGGATAAGCCTCTCATCCTTTGCAAATTGGATTTTGTGGCTCACTTGCCTGTCCTCTTGGATAAAGTTTCCCCTTAGCTGCCTCTCCTGTAGCAGAGCTTGGGTTCTTCTCTAGACTGCAAAGCCTTTTATAATGCTCTGCAGATCAGGAATCACTTGGAAGGGACAGGGACAGACTTTCCATTTCCCACTGAAGCATGCTGCAGAGTGAGCCTGCTGCTTCCTTCCCTTGTGGAGTTCCCTTGGTTTGCAGGAGATTCCCCTTGGTTTGGTTTGGTGCCTTTCCTGCTGGGTGGCTCTGAGGTGCTCCTGGCTGGCAGCCCCCCAGTGATGGCTCCTGTTTTAGGAAGCCTCTGGGCCATGGGAATCGTTGTGATTTCATACTGGGGAGGAAATGGATTCCTCAGAGAAGGCCAGCTTCAAACAGAGCCACAGCTGGCTGATTTTAAACCATTTCAGCTGGCGATCACAGGGTGCTGTGAGGTTTTACCCCCAAAGAAAACAAAACAGGAAAATGCACCACGTTAGCATAAATAGGATTTTCAAGGCTTGTAATAAGCCCCATGTAATTCCTAAAAGGATGGTGTGTAAAACAGGCCAGCACACACAGATGATGGAGAGCTGAGCAGCTCCAGTTTGCTTGTAAGAATGTGCTGGTTTGAGTGTTATGCCCATTTCTGGTGAGGGACAGCAGTCACCACACTCCTTCCACAGCAAGCTCAGGAGCAGCACTGGCCTCTCACTTGTGCCATTCTGTGCAGGACACCCTGCAGGGGCTGGGGAGGAGCAATCCTTGCCAGGGTTAATACTCAAATCTGTGCTGCTTGACTTAGGAGCAGGGGAGGGGAGTTAATGCTCTCAGAAGAGAGCACCTACTCTGGGGTGCAGACTGCCAGCAGCTGACAGATGGAAGTGATTTTGGGACAGTGAGAAGTCAGTGTGGAATCACAGTGGTGACCAAGAGCAGACTCTGCATCCCACAGCCTTTGACTTACACCCACCCCTTGTGACTCTTGCTGTGGAGAAGGACAATTTCCCAGAGCCACCAGAATTCTTCTGTGGGGTGGGAATTAGCAGTGGGTCGATGGTTTGCTGTCTCTTGTGGTTCAGTGTAATAGACACACTCTGAAGATGCTTTTTGGCAAGGCTGTGCATGGCTGAGGGATGTGAGCAGTGGAGCTCTGACTGGAGAGCAGGATTGAGGTGAAGCTGACCCCTGTGCTTGGTGTGCTGCCCCTGACCAGAGTGTCACCCACCTTGGTGTGAGAGCTGTGCCAGCCCTGCCCCTGTTTGGTGTTTGCCTAAGAGTTCCCTGTCTGTTTTTTGTCTTGCAGCATCTGGAGGGGGCCAAACGTGAACTGTGTTGACAGCACTGGGTACACCCCGCTGCACCACGCTGCTCTGAACGGCCACAAGTGAGTCCTGTCCCAAAACTGGGGTCACAGGGGGTGGATTTGTGCTTCCCTGGCCACAAGTGAGTCCTGTCCCCAAGCCTGGGGTGCCAAGGGGTGGATGCTTTGTGCTTCCCTTGTGTGGTTCATTCACCAGCTGAGGCTCTGGTGCAGCACTACTCCATCTTCAGGGGAAGTGGAGAATGTCAGAGCTTTGGCTGCTGGCTGATGTTACATCTCCAAACGCTGAGGTTTTCAAGCCCTTTTGTTTCTAAGCAATTTGGATGAGCTGTAACACGGTGTGAAAGGAGCTCCCCTGGTGACAGTCCCTGCAGTCTTCCTGGTGCCCAGGGTGGTCTGGGCCTGCACCACTTTACAGTTTCCTCATGTGCTTATCACATTTTAAAGTAATTTTAGTGTGTAGATCTCGTGTTTCTTGTTGCTGCCTGAGATATTGAGAAATCAAATAGAGTTAAAATCTCTGTTCACCCTCGTTGTGCTGTGTTCAGCAGAGGCTTGTGGCTGACTTCAGCCCCTGTTCAGCTCCATTAGTATGGAGTTGATGTGGATCCTCCCTGAGCTCATCTCAGCATTATTTATTTCCTTTTTTTTCATTTCCTTTGGCAGCATTTAATAGGAACACTTAAAAATCACATGTCAAGAGGCTCTCTGAAACACTCCTGCTCAGATTAACTTCTTGTTCAGTCCTTGCTGCAGAAGGGGGGCTGTGAAACAAGGACTCAATGTCTCACTGCAGCTCCTGTCTCTTGCAGGGATGTTGTGGAGGTTCTGCTGAGGAATGACGCCCTCACCAACGTGGCAGACTGTAAGGGCTGTTACCCCCTGCACCTGGCAGCCTGGAAGGGAGATGCTGACATTGTGAAGCTCCTCATCCACCAGGGCCCTTCGCACACCAAAGTGAATGAGCAGGTCTGCCTGATTTTCTCTAATGTATCATTGAATCACTTCCCTGGCATGGAGAGAGACTCCTGCAGCTGACCCCTGACCCTTCCCAAACCAGTAGCAGTGGTTGTAAGGTCCTACTTGCTGGTGGGATAGGAGGGGCACTGCCTAAAGCAATACATTCAGCCTGAGTTAGTGGTAGGATGAAAAGATATTTAAGTTTCATAGCAGACACATAATTGTGAGAACTGCTCAACACTTAGGAAGTGGTCTCCTGCTTCTGGGCTTCTAAAACTAACCCACAGTTTTCCTTTCAGCTGCTGGATAGCTGAGCAGGTTTCTAGTTCTGCAGAGGATCCATTGGCTCCCTCCTTTGGGAACTAATCCAAGCAGCTTTGTTCAGTCTCTTTGGCCGTGCTCTCTTAGCTGCTCTCCTGGCTTGTCTCTGGCACTTGCTCCAGTTCACTAATTTGTAAGTTCTAAGATAATTTTAACAGTACTTGCCCCCAGATAAATCCCTAGCCTAATCTTAAAGAATTATTTTTGCAATCAGGCAAGAAAAAAAGCCTCTTGGATTTGTTCCTTTTGTCAAGCTGACAGTTTTGGCCTGGGGTGCAGAGGGAGTGAGGAGTCCATGACAGCTGTGTCCACTGCAGAGGGCTGGCTCCTGTGGAACTGCCCATGGACATCAGAGGTATCTTAAATGCCAGGGAACTTCTGAAATGCTGCTGCTGGAAGGCCCAAACATTCCTGTTGTTGCAGAGTGTTGTTTACAGGAACTGGTTTCATGGATGAGCCAGCTGAGTGCTGTCACTGAGCTGCCCCTCCCCAGCACAGAGTGACAGGCCCAGACCAGTGGCTAAAGCTGCAGTGGGCTGTGCTTGTCCTGTCCCTAAGGCAGGAACATCTGCTGACCCTGGGAATCAGCTCCTAAACCACTCAGGTGTTCTTTCAGGAGGAAAGGAATGAACCAAAATAGGTTCACCAACCTGCCTTGGTGCCAGCAGGCTAAACCTGGATGTTCATTCCAGAGGTAATTCCCAGGTGGGTCAGACACCCCTGGCCTGAGTCCAGCTCACAGCCAGGGTGAGCAGCTCTGGAATCCCTTCTGTTGATTTGCTCCATGGTAGTTTTTCAGAAGCTGGGGAGCAAACTCCTTTCAGAGGCAGGTTTAGGAGTCCCAGTCCTCCTTTGTGGGGACCCAAGTGCCACACTGGAGTTTCCCAGGATGGGTAAATCGATGCACCAGGCTGCTCCAGGGATAACTGCTGCTAAAGCATCATGGAATGAAAAATCTGGTTGTAGTGCAACTCTGTCATTCCTCCACTGAGCAGGAATAAGGAGGAATGTGTGTTGTGATGTCTCTGGTGACAGTTCTCCCGTTTGGGGCTGTGTTAATCATGTCTCCAGGCACAGCTGCAGGCACTCAGTCTGATTACATGGGCTAGAGTGCAGGTTCCCCAGTCAATCCGACAAAAACTGAGTGAGAGCCCATAGTGTAAATGTTCTGCTCTGAGCAGGGCAGCTAGAGGGGTGATCTTTGCCAAGGCCCAGAGCTTAGTGTGATCCTTGCAGGTAATGTTTCATGAATGTCTGTTTGGTAGGAACCCTGTTAAATGAGAGCAGTCAGCTGAGGAGCCTGTGCTTGGAGCCTGGTCCAGGTGACAGCAACCCCAGCTGGAATGGCTTCTGACTGGAACAAGATGCTGTGTCCTGCCATTCCACCCCTTGGAGTCACCCATTGCTTTGTTGCTGTATCTCACCCATTTCATTATCACATTTTTTTTTCTTTTTCCTCTTCCTTTTTGTAGAATGCTCTTGAGATCAAAGAACTCAAAAAGTACGGCCCCTTTGACCCATATATCAATGCCAAGGTGTGTACTTTGCTGTCAGCATTTCACTGCATCATCACTCCAGGCTGCACTCGCGTGCTTCCAGGTGCAATAATACCTGTTCACTTTGCAGCTGCTTGGGGAAAAGGAAATTGGGACCATTGATTTACTGTGGGTTTCTCTCTTCAAAGCAGTTATAGAAACATAATTAAAGGAAAGCTTTTCCTTACTTTCCTGGGGGCTCCTTCCTTGCTTAGCCTTGTAGGACTCGCAGTGATGGTCAGTTTGCTTGATTGGGCTGGATGACTTCCCAAAGGTAATGTTACCTCAATTTAATGTTCTAGGTTTTGTTTCATGTGCTGGTGTTGCTGATAAATGCAAAGAGAAGGAATTTTTTTCCCCTGCTTAACCATGGTTGCATTTTCTCTGTGGGCTGTTTGGAGTGAATTTTGATGCCTTTTCTCCTACCAAATGCATAATGTTCTGTGTGTTGTTTGAATGGACAGTTAATTCCTGTGGTGGTGGTGGGGAGAAGGGAGGGCAGTGATGATCCTGCCTCCCTTCCCAAGTCCTCCATGTCCTGCTTATTACATCAGTCTCTCTTTTATGTTCAGTCTGTGGTGTTGTTTGACCCTCCAGCCCTGGTCTCCTGTTCCTGTTTTCTGGCCTGTTTTGCTCCTCTCTTCTTTTCAGTTGTTTTGAGCTACAAAAGACACAACATCAGCTTGTGCAATGAGCTGAGACTGAGCTGTTGAAGAAGCTTCCTATCCTGTATTGGGATGTTGAAGATCAAATTCCTGGTGGTGGTTTTTAGGCACCATTTTTCAATTTTATTTCTAGTGATTCTACAAGCCAGGGGTGGTAAACAATCTGTTACTCTGTCCTGAGACACCTCTGCCATGAGCCACCATGCCACAGCTGCTTCCAGCCACTTATTTTGGATCCAGCCATCCACGGCAGAATTCTGCCTGTCAGAGTTTCCCTCTGCTTGGTCTGCAGGAGCTTAGGAACACACAGGCAGAGCTCCTGTGCTTGCTGGGAGTTAGGTCTGGTTCAGGGTCACTGAACACAAATGTGCTCTTGTAAAGCTCATCCAAATTGGGGATTTTTGCAAAAATACAAATAGGAATTTTATGCCTTTATGTATTCTGTGGAAACATCATAGTTGAGCAGTTCACTTGCCTGAAAGGAGCTTCCTAAAACATTGTCAGTTACCAAGCAAAACCTTACACACTCCAGTGTTGGGATGTTGAGTGAAGAAGGAATGTACAGAGGGAATATTCAATACTGGCAGTTTATTTAACCCTTCAGATCTTTGCAGGTCAGAAAACTTCCCCTTTTTCAAAGCCAGTCTCCCTGTGCTCAGTCAGAGCTGCGTGTTGGGAGCAGGGGGTGCAGAACAGACACAGCACTTGAAGGGGCTGTGGATTCTCCACAGGGCTGTGTGTGGTGAGTGCCATCACATCAGCAGGGCTTGGAACCCGTGCTGGAGCCCATAAGAAAGCAGAGCCATCCCTGCTCGTGCCCTGTTTGTGCTCTGCAGGCAGGCATTGCTCCCAGCTCCTCTCTTCCAGCTGAGAGCTGGGGGATGCAAGGATTCCTGCAGGAATGCAGCCCCTCAGCCCTCCTGAGTGCTTTATTTTTCTAAGTAGTTCTGAAATTTGAAGCCACGTGCCTTCTGGCAGCTGGAATGGAATTTTCCTTTTCCATCTCTGATACATCTGTAGGTCTGAGCACTCCTGCTCTGGTTTGTGCCTGGAGAGGTGAGGCAGGAAGGGAGCAAACTCCCTTGCCTGGAAGAACTGGAGTATTTTTGGCTGCTCAAACCTCTCCCAAAATGGAGGCAATAAAGACTCAGGCAATAGTGGGAGTTTCCACTGCACAATCTGGAATTGGGAGAGACTTGCTGTGATGATTCAAGGGAGTTTATTTGCCTGGTGATCTCTGGAGGAAAGTCTGGGGATTTTTTCTCAAGCACTGGAGCCCCAATCTGCTTAGAGAAAATTGGACTGAATTGCAGGGAAGATGAGGGAAGTCTCCAACAATTATGTTTTTAAACAATGTTGTGTTCCCATTTCTGAGCCCTCAGGCAGATGCTTGGAACTGCTGCATGCTTTAAAGCCCCCTGAGGCTGGGAGAAAGGAGAGGGGGCAGTCCCAGGCAGGGAAATGCCCAGCAGCCAGGGCTGGCACGAGCAGCGTGTGCCCCCACAGCTCTGGGGCAGGGACCTGCTGCTCAGGGGGGCTGGGCTCTTTCCACAAAGCCTGGCAGAGAGGATCCCTCGTGCCACAGGGCAGGCTGAGAGCCTGGCCCAGCTGTTGTGGGCTCCCTGATCCCCGCACTCCCACTCCGTCAAATGGGAATAATGGGATTTGCCAGCCCTGTAAATGCCCGAGGGCAGCAGTGTGAGCTGACGGGCAGGTGCGAGCTCTGATGTTCTCTACTCTGTCCCCTCTCACTCCCTTTGTATATTTTTTGTGCAGATTTCTGTATCCTGCAGTACCCCTGTCCACGTGTCTGTGCCTCCCCCCAGGATGGAGCCTGTTTGCCTTGGCCCTTCTGTGCTGGCAGTGATGCTGTGCCCCCTGTGCCCCCTCCCCTGCACGTGCCTGGTTCTGCTCCTGCCCTGCCCTGCCCTGCAAACTGCAGCTGCCAGAGCCTCTCCAGCTCCTGCTCCCTTTGCTTTGCCTGTGCTGAGAAGTGATGCAAAAGCCAGACACAAACACCTGGGGATTGACAGGACTGCTGAGGGTGACTGAGCACCTCAGCAGCGTCCGAGTGCTCGAGCAGCCTCACGAGTTTGTGACATGGTGCAGAATACTGAGCAGTGTCCCGAGGCCTGTGTGTGCTCTCACAGCAGGCAGGGATCAAATTCCCTTCTGCAGTGGTGCTGCTGCCTCCAGCAGGACAAGAACATTCTGTTTATTTTATTGGAAATTGTTAAAATGACAAACTCAACCACGAGTCTTTCAGTTGAAGTGTGGAACTGTTTCTGTTAAACTTTTTTGGGGTTATATTGTCAGATAGTTGTTTCTAAAGTGCTTAAACCAGAATCCCTTTGTGGATGACACACAGAAACTTGAGAGGAACTTAATTTGAGAAAAGGCTCTGTTAGATCTGGCCATGTTCCTATTTTGCACCTACACATGTGGGGTGTTGGAGTGCTCATTTTTGGGCTTTGCATTGCTGGTCCTTGGCCTGGCTGCTGCTGCATGCTCTGGTTTGGGTCTGGCTTCCAGCTGGGGGTGCTCCCTTGTCCCTGAGACATTGCTTCCCTCAGCTGACCTGAGCCTGGCTGGTTCCTGCAGTGGTGGAATTGCACGGTTCTCTGGTTCACAAACTGCATGGGGCTGGGTGCACCCTGTCTCTAAACAGCCAGAATTGCAGAGGTGGAATGACTTTATAACCAGGATAAGTAGGATTTGAAACAATTGAAGTTTAAATCTAAAATTATGATGATAATGAAGTTTCAGCAAATAGAATTCACACAACAGGTTCCCTGCCTTTTATTTTTGTGGCACCCTGAAGTGTGGGATGCTGCCAAGACACCAGACTGGTGTCAGCAGCATTTCTCAGGTGCCAGCAGCATTAATGGGAACCTGGACACAGCTGAACATCCCTTAAACTTTAGGATCCTGCCCCTGGTGCTTGGAAAGCAGGCTGGTCCATCTCTAGTCCCTCTTTCCCACAGCTGAAGTGCCTTGTTCTGGACATCCCTGAGGCTGTGGCAATGAGCTTGTGAGGGGACACTAAACACCCAGGGAGATGGTGACACATTGCTCAGGCTGCTTCAGACTGGGCTCTCTGCTTCCCCACTGCTTTTTTTTTTGTCTCAATTTTGGATTGAAACACTGGAGCAGGGCGCTGCCCCAGGCCTGACGCGCTGCCCCTTGTGCCCCGCAGAACAACGACAACGAGACGGCGCTGCACTGCGCGGCCCAGCACGGCCACACCGAGGTGGTGAAGGTGCTGCTGGAGGAGCTCACCGACCCCACCATGCGCAACAACAAATTCGAGACCCCCCTGGACCTGGCGGCGCTCTACGGGAGGCTGGAAGTGGTCAAGATGCTCCTGAACACCCACCCCAACCTGCTGAGCTGCAACACCAAGAAACACACTCCGCTGCACCTGGCAGCCAGGAACGGGCACAAGGCAGTGGTGCACGTGCTCCTGGATGCTGGCATGGACAGCAACTACCAGGTACCTGCTGTGGTGGTGGTCTCAGGATGAGGGAAGAGATTTGCAGGGGTCTCAGGATGAGGGAAGACACGAGAATGGTGACTCCACATTTATTATTTTATGATATATATGATATTAAAACTATACTAAAAGACTAGAAGAAAGGATTTCATCAGAAGGCTAGCTAAGAATAGAACAAGAATGATAACAAAATCTTGTGACTGACTGAGACAGTCCAAACAGCTGGATTGTGGTTGGCCATTAATTAGAAACAACCACATGAGACCAATCACAGATGCACCTGTTGCATTCCACAGCAGCAGATAATCATTGTTTACATTTTGTTCCTGAGGCCTCTCAGCTTCTCAGGAGGAAAAATCCTAAGGAAAGGATTTTTCATAAAACATGTCTGTGACAATCTGGTGTGTCTGAGTGGGGCCAGGCTGGTTGCTGGGCATTGGAGAGCTCCAGCAACCCTCGTTGCAGAAGCTGAGGAGAGCTTTGTGTTGTGCTGGGCTGCTGGGGGGGCTGCCCGGAGGGGCTGGGGTGCTGTGCATGCCTCACGCCTGTGCAGAGCCCCAGACACAGAGAGGGACACAAACACCCCGTGGCCAAAGCTGTTCTGCCCTGCAGTGCTCTGAGCTCTTGATAGGCAAACGTGTCTCTTCCTATCAAGCCACTTGTGAATGTGCTGTTTTCACAGCAATGGCTTGTATGTGGGTCTTGTTTTTCCTTGTCAGGACACGACCTCTTGCTGAGCTGTAGGAGGCCCTTTCTTGGTCTCTCTGATGGAACCATCCCCATTTTTCCATCCCACATCCTCGGCATTGTAATAACATTGACAGTCTGTCCTCAGCCATAGGTAGTGCTGCCCACAGCTCGTGTACAAGGCCGTGTATTTATTGCTTCTGTAACCCTCTAAGCCATGCCCCCCTCACCATTCTCTGCTGTCTGGCTTCATGCTATGTTTCCATTTAATTTGCAGACTGAGAAAGGCAGTGCTTTGCACGAAGCTGCTTTGTTTGGCAAGACAGATGTGGTACAAATATTGCTGGCTGCAGGTGAGAGAATGTTCCCCCTTTGAAGCACTAATGTGGTGATCCCTTCGCCCAGAGCTTGAGGAAATCCCTTTCTATGCAGCAGGTTTCTCCATCTGGCTGTCAGAGCTCCTTGGAGCAGGATGTAGGAGAGGTTGGCTCTTGGAATTTGGCTTTAGATTTGTCTCTAGAGTGCCTTTTAGCTCCCCCCAGTGCTGATCACAAATGTGACTTGATGAAATACACAAACCTGCGCATAGTTAGACAATATTCTTGCTTTTGCCCTCTGTACCCCTGTGGCCACAGGTATTGATGTGAACATAAAGGATAACAGAGGCCTGACTGCTCTGGACATTGTGAGGGAGCTTCCTTCCCAGAAAAGCCAGCACATAGCAGCTCTCATTGAAGGTGGGTAATGCAGCTCTGCCTCTGGGGAGGAGGGGAAAGCTTGGGGTGCTGATTCTGCCAAGGCAGGTACAGGATGTGCTTTTCTAGACCTGGAGAGTGCTGAAATCAAAGCAGTTTCAGGGTGTGCTGGAAGAACCAGTGCTGAAATGCTGGGGTGAGCTTCCCCAGACCAAATGTTTGGAGGAGGACTTGGGGGGATTTAGGAGGATTAGCCCTTTGCTGAGAGAGTGTGGCATGACTTTTACAGTTTAAATGGGCTTAATTGAGCTTTGTTTAGCTCACTTTAGAAGTTAATTAAAATTAAGGATAGCCTAAATCTGCTTGCAGAATGCAAAGTAACAGCTTTAGAAATGGTTCTGGTGTAATTCCCCTTGACGTGTCTGTGTAGGCAAATCACTGTCCACAGATCTCACATCCTGCTCCTCGCCTCGTCGTCAGGCTTGGGCATGGAATTTGCAGATGAGATTTACAGAAAAGGCCTTGATTACTTGTGTTTTATAAAGGAGCTTGGTCCATTGTGTCTGTCCAAATTCGGGAATGAAATGTGACATCTTGGCTAAATTCATACCTTGTAATTACGCTGTCTGCATTTCCTCTCAGCTGTGGGGAGGATCAGAAGCATTTGGAGCTGGGCTGTGTTATTCATGCTGAGCATTTGGGAGCTTTGCAGGTTCAAAGCACTTCTCAGACTTTTAACTAAGCTGTGCCTGTGAGGCTGGAATGTTTGAGCTTTATTCTGAAACTGAAGACAAAGATGGGCTTTAAAACTGAAGGTGTTGCAGATAAAGGCTGTTAGTTTTCCCCAGGAGGGAGCTGCTCTTGGATGTTACATCAGCTGAATGTTTCTGGCTTTGCCTGTGGTTGGGGGCTGCAGCTGGAATTGGTTTCTCTTGTTATGACTCTGTTCAGTGATGGAGTTTGTGTCTACAACACGAATTTGCTCCGTGACTCTGTGTCCATGCAGCAGCTTTGCAGCTTTCTGATTAAAGACTCTGAAAGTTCAAAGTGCCATCCCTCCCCTTGTGCCTGTGATTAAAGAGGCTGCCTGCTTCTATTTTGGGATCTGAGCTGCAAGTTTTAATAATGTTATTTTTTTTTTGGACACTTAATAAGCTGACAGTTGGCCTTCCACCCACGAGGGAGGAAGCGCCATGTGCTGAAGGGGACAGAAAGCCAGATGGATGTGAGCTGACCCTGTCCCCCCCAACCCCCTTGCAGATTACACCGTTGGGAAGAAAAGTGCCAAAGGTGTGGAGAAATCTGCTCCAGCCCCGCTCGCTGCAGCCACCGATCCCCCGGGCCGGACGTCTCAGGGTGGGCATCCCCAGCATTCCCCTCCCTGCCAGCGCCGAGCCAGGACATCCAGGGACAATGCCATCTCCCTTTCCCCCTGCAGGTGATGTGGACAAAGCTGTGACAGAGCTGATCATGGATTTTGATGTGAACCCCGAGGAGGAGAGCCCCTATGAGGCTCTGTACAACGCCACGTCCTGCCACTCCCTGGACAGCCTGGCCAGCGGGAGATCGTCCGACCGCGACTCTGGGAACAAGGAGGCTGAGCCCAGCGGCCTCAAGGCAGCTGCAGTCAGGCCTGTATGTAGCTGTATGTGCTTGCCCCAGAGGCACAGGGGGCTGACCTGTTTTGCAGCAGGCTGCCCAAGCTTGAGGAAATGTTTAAATCCTTCTCTGACACTGATGAGAGCAGGCTGGTGTCTCTCCTTCCCTACCCTGCTCTCAGGGATTGCCTAAAAGCAGAGAAGCAGCCACTTCTTCATTTCACTTTGTGTTGCATCCTTCTGTTTTCTGGCAATGCGCTGTTGCCAGTAAAACTTGGTCTGTCAGGAGATTGCAGTTTGCAGAAGGGCTGACTCCTTGTCCTGAAAAAGGTTCTGGAGACTTGTGTGGAGCATCTTCTCATGGCTCACTGCTTTACCACAGCTGAGGCTCTCAGGAAATTATCTGTAATAACCTCTTGGAAACTAGTTGGCAGTGGAAGGGGTTTGTTTTTTGTGTATTACTTGCAGAGCTCTGTAGAGGGTACTCCAGGCTTTACAAAGCAGCACAGAGCTCCTGGAACTGTCCCCAGAGAAGTCTTCCTCACCTTCTGTCAGCTGCATCTGCTGCCCTGGTAGCAATCAGCAGGAAGGCTGCTGTGGGGCAGATGGGACACGGGCCCTGCAGTGCTGGGTCAGCTTCAGGCTCTGTGTTCTGGTTGGTTTTCCAAAGCCTGCTCTGTGGAGGTGTTTTTGAACAAAAGGCAGAGCAGCAGTGAACAATTAAACTGCTGGGGGCACAGTAACCATGGTTTCCCCTCTGTGCAGAGAGTTGCAGCCTTTGGCTTGTGCTGAGAGCAATAGAATAGAAATGAGACAAAAGCTTTGGATGGGGGACATTTTGGGCAGATATCTCAGGTGTGCAGTACCAGGCTGTCCTGTTACTGTCCTGTTACTGACAATGACAACCTTCTTGTCATTGTCCTGTGCTGATGGGGTCTGGTGTGAAATGAGCTCGGTTCTGTCACAAGTAAGGAAAGAGGAGAGCTGAACTGCAGTGAAAAGAGAGCAGGAAGAGAGACATGCTCCAGGAGCTGGCTGAGTGTGAGCAGTGCAGCTCTCTTGGCCATTAGATGGAGCTGTGGCTGGGCAGGAGGTGCCCCGGGAGCAGCTCCAGCTGCCCAGTTGCAATCCTGGGATATCGCAGGAGAGCAGTGCAGCTTAGTTTCTTGATCCCTAGAGTTTTCCACTATAAAAGGTGCCCTGGCATCGGTTTCACTAAGCCACAAGCCCTTTCTTCTGATCAGCTCGTTGCTCATTGCCCTGTGTAATGCTGCGGAGATGCAGGTTTGGGTTTAAGTGCGACCAGTGGAACAGGATCAGTGTCCTGAGGAAGAGGAGGAGGAAAGGCAGCAGCCATTGCCCAGCTCTTTGCTTTTAGGCTGAACTTCTCCACTAAGATTAATTTGAAGAGATCTTTGCTGCACCCACAGCAGTGGGGCCATAGGGCTGGGGGCAGAAGGGATGAGCTGGGGGGCAGAAGGGATGAGCTGGGGGGCAGAAGGGATGAGCTGGGGGGCAGAAGGGATGAGCTGACAGTGTCTGTCACCTGCAGAGAGAACGTCCTCCCCCGCCAGCCAAGCCCCCGCCTGATGAAGAGGAGGAGCAGAATGTGGAGAAGAAGGCAAGCCACAGTGCTCCCTGTGAGGTACATGGGGCTTGCTCTGGGGTGTTTCGTGGGAGAGTGGTTTAAACATCAGTTTAAATGGTTTGGGAGGAGCCAAGGGTGCTGTTACCTCCTGTGCTCCTTGGGCTGTGGATTGAAGCATTCCCTCACTCAGCACTGCTGCTGTCCCTTACCATGGGAACTTCCTTTGTCCGCTTCCTCCAGGGCACCTCAGAGTTGACCTTCAGCCTTACTTTCCTATTCTTGGCTGAGAATTCCCTTAGGGAGAGATTTTTCTGACCCACGTTGTGATGTGGACCATTGCCCTCTAGTAACGATCCCACCACAGGCATCTTCAGTTGGACTGAAGCACAGAGGGGCTGTGAGTTGCTGCTTCCTCTGAGCTCCCAGCTGTGGAGGAGCTGCTCAGGCTTGTGGGTCCCACTGACATGAGCAGGGATCAGGACCTTGAATTCAGCTGAGGGTGTGGCCCAGCACGTGTTAAAGCTGCCTTCTGCAGGGGTCAGTGGTGTGAGCTGCTTTCTGATGGAACTCAAGCTCTCCCATTTCATTTTGTTGCTGCTGGGGTTTCCTGTTGCTCACCTTATTCACCTGCTGTGAAGCTCAGATGTAAGGACTCCCCAGGAGACATGGCTGTGGGAAACCACAAGTGTGCCTTGGCACCTTGTGCTGACACCCAGGAAAACCTTCAAAGCAAATCCCAATCCTGTGGATTTCTGTGCTCTCCCAAAGGCAGTGGGCTGTGTGTGAAGCTCGTGGAGCATGTGCCACCTCTGCTGTCAGAGCAGGCTCTGCTTCTGCAGGTGCTTTCTTTGGGTGTGCTGATCTGCTGGAGTTCTGCAAGGCATAAATGAGCTCTCTTTTCTGGAGAGTGTCAAATCCACGTGAGACACGGGTGAACATGGCCTGCTGTGGTAGAACTGACTGCAGAGAGGGAGTAAATCTGAGCTGTGTGTGTGCAGGGAAACTGGGATGTGACATTGTGGACTGATCAAATGCAGGGGGTGGTAACCAGTCCTGTGCCTGGCTCTGGCAGCAGGTCATGGAGTAATTGGGAAGCAGAACTTGTTTATGACAATCAACACGGGGAGGGAAATGTGCCCTGACCATTCCTGCTGAGCTTTCTGGCCATGTTTAATTACCAAACACCTGCTGTGTTGTCCTGCCTTTAATGGCTTTGGAAGCACAATCCATTAAAGGGAATCTTGCTGGCAAAGGGCAGAGTGACTCGCTGGAGAGACCTTGATTTGTGACCAACTTCAGTGACAAAACTTACAGGCAGCATGTGGCTGCCTGGAAATGACCTTTTGGACATACTGATGAGGAGTTTGGGGCTGATCCTTTTACTTTGCTTGTTCCTCCTGGCCTGCTCTGCTTTTCTGACTCTTGCCCATCTTTTCTCACCTCTCCCTGGGCCAGGCAGGTGTGCACATGCTCCAGGAATGCTGTAAACATTCTCCTGCAGCATCCCAGTCTGCCACCCTCCAGCCCTGCTCTCCCATTGGAGCCAGGATTGGAAGTCATTGAGTATTCTGGGGTTGGGCCAAACTCCAGTTTTCCAAAGTAGTCTTTTTATTCCTTGCCAAGCTGGGGCTATCACTCAAAGCAGATGAGAGTAAACAAGAAACTTCACTTTCATCGCGGAAAAGCGTTGGTACAAACAGGCAAAGGAGCTGATTGTGTGGAGGTGCTTGAGTGGTGCCTTTCACTATCTGCAGAAACCTTCTGGGTTTGGAGCTGAGTAAGAGTCTGCACTGTCAAATTAAACTTCAGTTCCAGTTGTTTACTGCTTGTCTCCAGAAGGGAAGTGCAGATCAAGGACGAGGCGCCGCGTTGGCTCTACGAGCTTGGTCTGCAGCTCTGGGGAGGGAGAGGAGAGGAAGCAATGAGTTACCCTTTAAAAAGTCTTTCAAACTCCTCTGCTGTGGATTAATGAGCATCCTCATTATTCACAGCATCTTATTTTTGAGCTTTGCTAGCAATGAACATTTATACATGCAAGCAACATGGTGAAGAACTAAAAGCTGAATTGGAAGAAAGCTTTACTTGGTGGTGCTGCTCCTGGTCACAAAGCCCACAGGGCAAGCAGGGCTCTCCAGCAATTGTCTTTGTTTTGAGTGAATTTGAACCTGGAACACTGTTTAGAGCTTGGAAGGATGAGAGGTACAGAAGATCAAGTGTCACCAGGCCTGTGAAAGTTCAAAGTAGAAGCTGGGAACTCTGTGCTGCTGGAGAGCTTCTGCCTTTGCTGCATTTAAAGAGGGCAGCACAGGAATCATCATCCACAGGAATGTCAGGAGAGCACAGGGCCTGGCTGAAGGTCCAGGCTGCTGCTGTGCTAACAGGCTGCTGCTGGGCAGGATTTTTACAAGATCACTGTCAAGAACCTCTCACCTGCTGTTCTGGTCTGACGGTTTTGTGCCACCATCTGGTCAGAATTTTTCCCTAATTTGCTCATTATGAGCTCCTTCACCTGGAAAGGAGCAGGTCTGCCTGGCAGCTCTTGCTCAAAGCTGGTAGAATAAATAAATATTTCCCATGCCAGACATGGCCCATTTCCTCCCATTGGGAAAGTCACATTAAAAGCCAGGTGGGTTCGTGCAGAGCAGCACATGGATGTCAGAACCCTCTGTGCTGCTGCCTCTTGGGTGCCTCTCCAAGACTCCTGGCTGGGTTGCAGTCAGGTAGGCACCAGTTTGCCCTTGGAGCAGCTCTGGTGCTCTCATTTTGGGGAGAAGCAGGAGCTGTGCTCTGCTGGTGAGGCAGTGGCAGGTCCAGGGGTGTGAGCAGTAGGAGCCCTCCCTGGGGGCACATTTTGTTCAGATCTGCTGTTCCCTGTCCTGGCAGCAGGTAGGGATTGTTTGCTTTCTGCCTTGGGTTTGTCCCACTGTGGTTGGGGACAGTCACACATGGTTTGGGCTGGAAGGGACCTTAAAGATCATCCAGTCCCAAGCCCTTGTCATGGGCTGGGACACCTTCCACTCCACCAGGTTGCTCCAAGCCCCATCCAACCTGGCCTTGAACACTTCCAGGGCATTCACAATTTTCTCTCTCTCCATGCCCCTCCCCAGCTCTCTTAGAGCCTCTTAGGGTGCATTCCTGGTCATGTTGAGCTCCTGGGACAGGGTTGCATCAATCTGCCAGGGTCTGGCCAGGAGATGGTGCTGAAAGGCAGCTGACTGTGCTGGCAGGGTGCCCTGTGGCCAGTTGAGCCCCTTCAGCACTGGGATGGCACACGAGGGTAGCCAGTGCATCCTTGGCATCGGTGCAGACCAACATGTGTGAGTGCAGCACGACTTGTCTGGATCCTGCCCCAAAACCTCAGCCCTGCACATGGCTGGTGGCTTTCCACAGCAGCTCAGGGAGAGTCTGCCAGGGTTACAAACCAGCTCTGAGTAGAGGCTTTGGGGGATTTAAATGAGCACAATCACTGCTGCACATCCTGAAGTTAAACTGAGTTCATACAGTGCTGCCTGAGGACTCTTTAGCTCGGAATATGCCATACATCCTGAGGTCACAAATGCAGATCTGAGGTGCCTGAGAGGGTGGCAGGGATTTGGGCTTTTGTTCTTTTTAGCCCTGTCCTAATAGGGCCGACAGCTAAAAAGTGAATGACTGTGCAAATTCCAATGGCAACAGCGAGTCTGAGATGGGATGAACAGGAATAACGGCCTCAGCTCTTTTCTCCCTCCAGGCTGTCTGCAGCCCTTACTCAGTTGGTCAGTGCTGGAAAGCTGTCAGCAGCCAGAAATACTGAAAATTAAAGGGCTTTGGGTGGGGTTTTTTTGAGGGGGTTAAAAAAACCCAAAGGGGAGTATTAGATTTTGGCTCACACTCCACAGTGAAGGTGTTGCTTCTGCCAATTCTTTGCTTAACCCCTGGCATAGAGGCTGTGGGGTTTATGCTGGGACAAAGCATTGCTTTGCAGAGCACCACATTGTGCTGTTCTTCATCAGGCCTCTGCTGCCCGGGGGAAGAGCAGGGGAAGTGGAGCTGAGGAAGAGGAACACCCCTACGAGCTGTTGCTTACAGCAGAAACTAAAAAGCCGGTTGCAGTGGACAGGAAAACAAAAGGTGAGTGACCATCCAAAAAGCAGAGCTGTTTGCTTGCATGTGCTTCAGGAAGACACGAGGGCAGAGGGCAAGTGGAACAATGAAAGTCTCTGCAGGGTGGGGGCTGGAGGGTGATTGTTGTGTTTCCTGGTAATCTCTGTGTGAAGGAGAGAGCTCTGAGCGTTCCTGTACAGAGTGTACACAGAGGAAGGGCAGCTCCACTGTAGGACAGTTCAGAGATTGCAAGGATCTGCTCTGTGAGCTCAGAAATGCCCAAATCTCATGCCTGGCCAAGCAGAGGCAGAGGGTGAGAGGCTGGAGGCTGTGCCTTTGCCAGGGATGATGAGCACCACGAGTGTTCCAGTGAGCCGTGTTTCCATCCAGCTGGCGCTGCAGGTTTCTGCTGTCCTGCTGTAAAATCAACATCCTGCTCTGTGCTAGAGCTAATTTGAGATGGAAACTAACAGGAGGAAAACAAAAATGTGTAGAGCAAGAACTAGAACTGGCTGAGAGCATGGAGTACACAGGTTGATATTGAGGCAGTTTCTCCTCACCCTGAAGGACCTCTGAGCTTTACAAAGCATCTGGGAACACCTTGTCTCTTGTGTTTAGCTGTTGTTGGCTTTTTGGCTTTCCTTCAACAATAACAACAAAAGATTTGTTTAGAGGGAAAAGATTTCCGCTTTATTCAGAAGTCCCGAGCAGGAATTTGGGTGGATTTAGTTTGGGTTCTCACACTGGAGCCCCTCTGCCTCTGAGGATGGACAGGGCTAACAAGGACTTGGGGTGATGCCTCACTGAGTGCTTTGTCAGACCTGCAGCATGATAGTTCTCATTGCTCAGGTCCTGCTGCTCTCCTGGGTGGCACAGGAGGTCATTGTGTTCTCACCAGCACTTGCCAAAGCCCCTCACTGCCAGAGGCAAGTTTTGAGAGCTTTTCAGGTTGGTGCTTTCAGTCTGGGCCAGGAACAGTCCTTGGGCAACAGCCACTGAGGGCTTTCAGGGCTTTCAGGCTTTCATCAGTGGGCAGCTATTGCTGGTTATTCCAACTGCTCCACTCCTTCCCCTGGCTGCACTGCCCAGGCTTGATTGGTGAGAGTGGAGGTGTGTCCTAATTCTGTGTCAGCTTAAAATAAAACCTCAGAGTAAGGCAGCTGCCTGTTCCTTATGCTGATCTCTTCCCCTGAACTCCTGAAGACAGGAGAGGTTGCAGGAAGATCTTTATGGGTCCTTTTATGGATCCAGAGCAGAGTCCCATCTTTTGATGCACAGTTGGAAAGATCAAAGCTGTGACTTCATGGTTTGCACTCCATGGAAAGTGTTGGTAACAAGCCTGGAGCCCTTCCCGCTGTTACAGTGGGAGAAATCCAGGGATGCAGTTGAGTTTTTCCTCATCTTCCCTGTCTTTCCCATTCTTTAAATGCAGTCAGCACTGTGGCTGATGATGGGGGGAGAAGATAAATTTAAGGAGTGGCAGAATTAAGCAAGAGTTGAGGGAGAGACCAAAACCTTACTTGGGGTGTTGGAGAATTTTCTCACCTCTGGGTCAGAAGAGTCCTGGAGCATCAAAGGCAGCAGCAGCTCAATCCCAAGGCACAGAACAGGCTGGAGCATGGCTTTGAACTGCTCCTTGGCTCTCAGAGTGAGGGTCTGGCTTCTGCATGAGTTCTGGAGCAGCCTTTGGTCAGGAGAGGAGGGCTTGGGTTCCTGTGGCTGTTGAAAGGGTCTTTCAGGGCAGCAGGAAGGCTGAATTTCAGGCCTGTGGGTTTAATGGTGCCTTTCATCTCTGATAGCTGCCTTTGTTCCTCTGGCTGCCAGTTGTCCTGTGTCCAGCCAGCAGATGAATGTGGCATTATCCACTGGCTTTGGTGGCCTTTGTGTGTGTTAGAGCAGCTCGCTGTCACATGCTGGAGCACTGGCAGAGGTTGGCCTCATGTTTTGGGCAGAGTATCAGAAGTGGTTTGAGCTAAATGCTCTCCCATCCACTTTGGTGTGCAGTCACATGCCTGAAGTCAGGGCACTCAGGCCCTCTAACAGGGTGTGAAATTAAAGCAAAAGGGGAGGAATGTGTGTGGAGTGACCAGGAGGAGGCTTCTGAGCTCCTGCTGCCTCCAGAGAGACCGAATGGAGGGTGAAAAGATTTGAGTTTTGAGCTGTTTGGCTTCTCAGGAGTCACACCCAGGTGTTGTCAGCAGTGACCAGCTGCAGGTAGGACTGACTTGGTGCCTTCTGGCTGTTATCACAAACTGATACTTGTTGGGGTTGTTCTGTGCTGCTTCCATAGGAGGTCCAGCTTGAAGTCCCCACTTTGCCCTTCCTGCTGTAAGAGATTTTCTATGTGGTTGTGCTGGTTCAGCCAGCACAGTGTGACTGTGCTGCTACCCAGAGAGCTGGAATGATCCAGCAATAAAGTCAGAACACACTGCAGGGAGATTGAAAGAAACTCTTTTCTGAGAGCCAGAATGGCTGCTGAAATAGCAGGGTGGATATTGCTGTGGGGTTCTGTGGGGACACTTGGTTAATGCAGGAAAAGATTTGGGGACAGCCCACAGCCTACATGGTGTTACCTTGGACAGAGGATAGACTTCTGTCCCATATCCCAGGTCCAGGCCTTTGTTTCTGCTCTCATGGTGTTGTGCAGAATCACATTAATGATCTCTCTAAGCAGGGCAGTGTCTCATTGCCCTTTCTGAAGAGGGGAGTACAAAACAGCACAAATTCAGGTGGATAAACTCTGCTGGAATGGCTGAGCTTGGTGAGGTTAACACAGGAGTGTGCCATCCTCAGCTGGGCTCCACACGAGGCTGTGGAATGGGCCTGTGTTTCAGTCCTGTTGTAGGTAAATGATATTTTTGCACCTCTCAAAGCCAGCTTCATCCTCTGGCTTTCAGTTCACAGGAGGGAAATTTGCCTGCTCCTCACTTGACAAACTCTGGCATGATGTAACGTGGGCAGCCTTTTCCATGTGAGATCAGAGGCTGCTGTGTGCCCTCACTAATTTTAAGGTTGGGGAGCTTGAGCAGGCAGCAGCTGCAGGAACAGCTTCACTCTCCTAATCCAGGGTTGTGAGACAAATCCTGCTGTTGATATAGAGGGAAAGAAATCCAGTGGAGGCAGGGTGGTTACAGCTTAGCATGGAGTGTTTAGGGAAGTGCTTCGTATCTGGAGAGCTCAGGCTGCTGGCAGGGAAGCTCTTGCTGGAATTCTCCCTGGGATGTGAACAGCCTGTACCCAGGAAGGGCTCCTGATCCCAGGGAGGGTTGGGAGCAGCTCTCCTGTGGGTGAGACCTGCATCAAGCTGAGGCTGAAAAAGGGAGAATCTGTCAAATGATCTGTGCTGGGGGGTAAAATCTGTGAAGGGAGAGAAATCCATAAAGGGAGCTGGGCAGGAGTCCCTGTGCTAGGGACCCTTCCTGAGTGTAACTCACATGAAACTGGAGGAGGAGGATTCTTTCAGATCTCCTAAAGGGAGAGGCCTGGACAGCCCTGCATGTTCCTGCTCCGTGCACCTCAGAGACAAAAACACTGAGAAGACTTTATACATTAGTTGTGTCTGCAGCTTTCAGGGCAGGCTCTGAAATATCTCCTTCAAGATGTTTCTCACAATTTCTGAGCCAGTGCTGTTGCCCTCGCTCCATCCCTTCCTTCCCTGGCAGCTGCCCTGTGTTTCAGAGTCCCACTTAGCTCACAGATGAGTGGGTGGCTGGGATTCCTGTCCAACAGGAGCCCTTTTGTGAGGTGCTGGAGCTGGATTTGGAGCACTTTGTTCTGGCTGGACTCAAGTGTTGCAGCACGTGGCACAAACTTTGGCCAGCTGCCTCTCTGCCTGCAGCAGAAATGTCACTAAAGGTTCAGCTGGGCACAGAAGAAATGGTTTCCAAGGAAGGGAAGAGGTTGGGAAGAAAAACTACAAAAGTTTTTCTTTCCCCACGGGTTTATTGACTGTCCCATCACTGCTGTCTTGCTCACCTCTCTGTGGCTTTGCATTAGTACCAGTCTGTCCTGTGAATGCAGCACATCTGATCTGCTCTGAGGTTTGTCCTCTGAGGTTTCTCTCCAGCACTGGAGCTTCAGAGCTTTATGCAAAGTAGCTGGGTTTAGTCTGGCCTTGTAATGTGGGGTGCTGCTGCTGGTGCCTCTCAGGCAGCACTGGGACCTGCCTCCCCCTTGGCAGCTCCAGTCACAGAACTGGTGGTTTATGTGCCTGTGCAAGAGAGTCAACAACTACTTCACTGTCCTGGAATCTCTAACTCATAGGATCCAGGATGAGATAATCCCTCACAGCACTTGATCCCAGTGAGGGCTGTGCCTGTGGGAGGGACTCACCATCCTCACCAGGCACGGGGTACCTGGGACCCCCACACAAAGGCAAATGACTAATTCAGCTCTTTCCTGCCCAGTTCTGGTGTGAGGACAGACCACAAAGCCCAGTGGGTATTGGTGTTTGAAAATCCCCTGGTCAGGCTTGGTGCTGGAAAGGAGAAAGGAAAAGAGAAAGGAAAGTTGGGAGCTGAGTTGGGCTCTCTGTGCTGCTAACAGGTTACTTTTAGTTGGAGTAGAACTCACTGTTTTGCTCAGGAAAGGAGGGTTCTGCAGAGCAAGTGATTTCCTCTTCAGATCCAAACATCCTCCCTGCACTTCAGAGCCTCATTATCCGAGTGTTTCGCTGTATTGTTCCCTTGCAGCATCAATTTCTAGTTCTCAGTCTGGAGAGTTTCTTCAGCACTAAATGGAAGCAGTTAAAATTCACAAGCAATGCTGAGAGGGTGAAGGAATCCTAGGAAACCAAAGTTAGATTGTTGGCTTGACAAAGTTTTTTGCTTCTGCAGTTGAAATGCTCGTTCAGCTGTGACAAAGGTGAGTGCATGTTTGTGTGTGTGTGTGTGTGTGTGCACCCAGCACGTGGGATCAGTCAATTCTTCATGGTTTATGCAGGACCCTGGTACCTGATATTAAGGTTGCTGGGGCAGGAGTAGCTGGGAACCAGTGTCACATTTCTGGGGCAGCCAGTGCTCCACCAGCTCTGGCCGCTCTGTGCTCAGTTCATTGCAAAAGAGACTTTTTGCTCAAGCTTTTTTTTTCCCTTGCATAAACTGTTTATTTCTCTCCCCTGAGCAGGGAGGAGAGGTTAAACTCGGAAGCCACTAGGGAGGGAAGCAGTGGGTTTTTTTGGGAGCGGATTTTGGAACTCTCAGGTCGGTTGCAGTCCAGGCGTTTTCCCACCCTGCAGCCCGTGCCAAGAGCCGGGTGAGCGGCTCTAAATAACGCTCTGGCCTTTATGGAAAGGGATCAGATGTTCCAGGAGCCTCCGTCTCTGCTGCTCCCACCTCACTTGCTCTCTCTGCAGGATATAGTTAGCACTTCTCTTGGCCTTATATAGCAAGGCCTGATAGTTAGTGTTAACAGGAATAAAAAACACGGAGAGCTGCCAGATTGCGTAAATCGGGCCAGTGTTTGGAATTTCATAAATGCCATGACTTTGGGTACAAGTTGAGCACGCGGAACAATACGGAACTGTTCTCTCTTTAGATCTCTCCCTCCCTTGCTGAGGGAGAGAGCTGGAATTTTGCTGCTTCTTCCACGTTTTTAATTTCCCCCTCCTCTCTGCTTTCATCCCCTTGAAGACCACAGGAGGAGCAGCGGCGGCCGCAGCCAGGACTCTGCCGACAGCCAGGACATCCAGGTGCCAGAGCAGTTCTCAGGGTTGCTCCACGGCTCTTCTCCAATCTGTGAAATAAGCGAGGACCCTTTCAGGCTCGCTTCCTCCTCGGAGAAGGGGGACACCGAAGGCACGAGCCACCCTGCTGCTATGCAGCTGGAGGATGCTGAGCTAACGTCGTCAGGACCGGCCCGGAGCAGCTCCCCGGAGCCCACGCAGAGCGCGGTGTACGCCACG